TATATATATGTATAACTAAAAATTAAAATAGTAAATTATTTTATTCTTAATAGGTTATCGGTTAACCCAATAACCCAATATTAAAAACCAATAACGAACCGATAACCCAATAATTTTTTTTGTTAAAACCATTAAATAACCGTTATCCCAATAACCCAATAACAATAAACCAATAACACTTTTTTCGGTTCGGTTTATCGGTCGGTTCGATTTTTGCACACCCCTACAGTGATTCTACCATCTCTAGTACTTGGATTATTATATTATTTTAATAATTAGCTTATGAACGTGGATTAAATGGTGCAATTTAATTACTGTAGTGCAACGTAGTCCCTCTTGGACTTGAGAGATAAACATTTTGGTGGTTAGTAAGGACTTAACGATCATTAAATAATTTGAGGGTTAATTAAAGGGCAATGATCAGTGGTGGAGTCAGAAATTTGGTGTTCAAGAATTGTATAAAGAAAATAAAACGAATGAGTGCACTAAAATTTTGTAAATCGAACTATGTAACATAAATAATTACTATTTTTAATTAAAAATTATACTACATTTTTTGAAATCAAACTATATAATATTTAGCTTGGATGTTCATGTTTATTTAATAGGAAGTAAACAGACAAAAAAAAAAAAGAGAAAGAGAAAGAGAAAATTCAATTTAGAATTAAACTCAGCCTCATAAGCAGCCACAGTCATACCATCTTGCTCCAAAGCCATGAACTTATCCTTCTTACGATTCCTCAAAGTACGGGGTACATATTTTTCCAAGAACAGAGCATGAAACTAAGTCCAAGTGAGTGGGGGTAAAGCTGAAGATCTGCATTCCACATAAGCTCTCAACCACTGCTTAGCCTCACCTTGAAGCTGAAAAGTCACAAACTCTACTTCATGTTGATGGACAATTCCCAACTTATGAAGCCTCTCATAACAATCTAAAATAAACTCATAAGCATCCTCATTCTCAGAATCAAGAAACATAGGAGGCTTTAGCTTCAAAAACTTAGTCAACATTTCATGCTCATTACCAGTTATAACATGACCTAACAAAGGACGGAAGAAAGCATCAGTACCTCCAGTTCCACCCACCTTGGGTACAATGATAGCAATAAGGGAATTGGCGGGAGCTTGAGTTTCTTGAACTGTGGGGATGACTCCAGGACGAACCAATCCTTTTAAGAATGACATAATCTGTTGAGCTAACATTGGGTCTAAGGAAGGAATACTTGTAGTCTCAGCTTGTACCTCTTCCTTTTGTCCAACATCCTCATCATTCTCCTCTACTTGTTCATGATGCGCATGAGGATTTTCATTTCTGGGAGCATTCTCAACTGGAACTCCACCCCTAGTAGGTTTTACCCTTCCTTGGTTTCTTCCTTTATCTCTTCCTCTACCCCTGCCTCGATCACGACCTTTTATTGCGGACTTTTCAGCTGGTGCATTGACAGAAGCTACGGATCTGATGCAGTTGAACCTAATGTTAACCATCTGCGGATAGAAGAATGAAGGAGATTAGATACCAATTGGACCTAAGTCATAGCACGAAATGAGTCAATAGAAAACATAGAGATTTCCTAAAGTCCTATAGCCTCTCTAAGAAAAGTACAAACATCTCCGTACCATTCCGCAAGACTCTACTAGACTCATTTTGGTACATCGAGATCAACGAACCTAAGGCTCTAATACCAAATTTGTCACGACCTAGACCGTCGTGAGTGACACCCACACTAACCCTCCGATGGGAGAACCATAACTACTAACTAACTAACCTCAAAACAAAGCATTTAAAGATACGGAAGCAGGTTTAAATGTAGAAAAACTGAAGTTCCCATAAACTTCCAAAAGATCTAACAACGATAAACATTGCGGAAATAACGCCTAGAACCTGAAAGTCAATGTACCAAAACTCTAACAATTAACCAAAAGTCTAAAGGAAATGGGTGCAACCCAACTAGCATAAGAATACCTAATGAACTAGTCTAAGTCTGAATAAGATGGACTAAACAGAAAGAGAACTCAAGGCAGTCTGGAAGAACTGGCTCACCCTTGAATTCGATGACGATCATTGATCTTCTAAACGAGGTCTGTCAGTAGCCGCCTGAAGATGCCCTGTACTTAACAAAGAAAGAGCATGTGCAGTATCAGTACACAACCATCGTGTACTGGTAGGATCACGTGGCTATCCCACTAAGTGCAATATAAGCAGGTCACTACCACATTATAAAACATGCATAGACTGAACATATACAATAGTTCATTACCACATTATAAAACATGCATACACCGAACATATACAACATTAATATCATTTCAGATCAATACACCATTCTACATTATCGGCGTTACACATATATGATAAGTCATTGGTCCTCTCACAGAACCCATACTCAAACAGTTAGTGTGCCGGATCGTGACACCCGTTCCAAGTTAGTGTGCCGGTTCGTGACACCCGATCCAAAGTTTATGTCGATACGTGGCAACCGATCCATTCAACATACCACAATCACAATCACAAGGTACATTCTCAAAAATCATACAATCAAGAGGTGATTCATGGCATATAGGTATTCGTTCATACTCATTTACGATTAATGTGATCAATAAAGCAACATTCGCATACATGCATGCAATACAAAGAATAAAGTACAAAGATATATCACAAACATGAAATCACAACCGTCACCTACCTCAAAACAAGCTTGAATCCCCTCAGAAACTTGATTTTTCCCCTTCCGGATTCTTTCCGCTTGTTCTTGGTCTACAAACAATCAATTTAACGCAAGGATCAATAAACGAAGCCTAATTACCCCGATTATAATCGAAATCATCAACTCTAGGCCAAACCCTTGATCCCACATACCTAGTTTTAAGGATTGTTCCACCATAAATCCTAGATCAAAACCCTCCCCCATCGATAATAACCCAAGAAACTAGGTTTTACGGATCAAAAAGTGGATTTAGGGAGTGAAAACCTTACTTTTAGCCTCAAGAATGGTGAAAAGTTGTCAAGAAAACACCTTGGTTCGTTCCTTAGCTCTCAAAGTCGAAACTTGCAGAATAATGACGTTTTTGGGGTTTATTTCCAACTTAAGTCGTGTCCATCCCGTTGTGGCGGACCCTATACCTTGCTACAGCAGCCCCGCTTTGGCGGCACAAATCCCACTTTGGCGGCTTGTGCGGAGACAGAACGTCAGAATTAGAGTATCAAACCCCCATTTCACAACACACCTTCACCCCATGACACTCAGAAACTACCCGTTCATGCTAAGATCAATTTCGGGAGTTCTACTCGCCCGAATTCGATTTCGTAAAGTCGTACGGGTTCCTTAACGTCTTAGTTATCTACTCATGTGGTCAAATTCATAATTAGACCTCCCATTTGTTACTAGATTTCCCTAGACCTCACTGACTCTGATTTTGTCCAAATCTAGACTAGGTTAGAAAATTTCAAGTTACTGCCAAAAAGTTTTCCGGCCCAAAATTTTTCCCCGTTGGCTTTACTATAACGATGGGAACCGTTCATTACACTGTGCCATAGTAAAGATTATCACACCTTCAAAAAATTAAGAAAATTCTTTAAATAGCTATAGATAATTTGAACATTTTATTGTATTATTCGAAAAAACTTTGACCTTCACAATTCACAAACCTCTTGTTTTGGTTTATTCCTCATGCTAAGAAATTCTTTTTTAATTTCCAGAACGTCTTTCTTCTTAATTTTATTTTTAAAAAGTAGGGGGAAAAAACTATAGTACGTCTTATTTTTTCTATCATCAAAATATTTTTGTATTTCAAAAAGTTAATTTCTCAATTTTTTCCTTTTGTCCTAATTCTTTTATTCTCTCTTTCAAAAGAACAAAATTTGAACAAGTGTTTATAAAATTAAGTTTATTTTATTATTTGTAT